ATAAACTTCAATAATATATTAGTTATATTACGATAAACTTCAATAATATATTAGTTGTATTACGATAAACTTCAATAACACTTTAGTTGTATTATGATAAACTTCAATAAGACATTAGTTGTATTACGCTAAACTTCAATAACACATTAGTTATATTACGATAAATTTCAATAACACATTAGTTATATTACGATAAACTTCAATAACACATTAGTTATATTACGATAAACTTCAATAACACATTAGTTATATTACGATAAACTTCAATAACACATTAGTTATATTACGATAAACTTCAATAACATATTAGTTTGGTTACTGTAATTTCAATAAGATATCAGTTGTCATTCTTGAGATTTAACATTCAGGAACTAGGATTCTATTCACTAATTTTGTTATGACATCCAATATGTAAAATATTCAATTTATGTCTTTTCCTTTAGTTTTCATTTCAAGATCAAAATAATTGTTCGTTTGGACTAGTTGGGTCTACTCTTGCAAAATTAGGTTAAACTGGGCATTTGCTTAGAAATATCATTTAACACATTTTCCATGGTCCAAGCTAAACAAGTAGAGCATGTTGACTATAAATAAAGATTTGTGGTGCTGGAGTTATCAGGATGCTCTGTTCTACATTCTGATTTGATAGCATAATAATTCTCCAGCTCTTATTGGTTGTTTTCTAACAATTCCACATGAACACCTGTGCGACCGCCCCCTTACGATAACATCACTCTTCTATTCGTACGGCCATATTGAATACACGTCGTGTGGAATAAGACGGAGTAGTGTCTTTGTTTTGTGGTTATTTTCTTTATTTTTTTTGAGATTTTTTTCACATATGGATACGGAGGATCAGGGCTCTGTTTGTACGGACTACAGCTCCGTATCCTCCACGTCAGAGGACAAAGATACTGCCATTACTGGTCAAGAACAAGAACTGTCCAAGGAAGAGGAATCAAGTGGCAAAAAGCTAAAAACGAAAACCTTTGAATATTTGAGGAACAAAGCAGCAGATATCAAACACGAAGAAGACGAACCTTGTCTTCCTGTCCTTCCCGAAGACGCTTTTAAAAATGAGCAGGCGAGCGATCTTCCTGTACAATCTGGTGACATTGCTTTACAGATACCACCCGAGGAGGTGGACCCCAGTGTACCCCCTTCGAGACAAGGTCAAGTAACTTTGACAGATCTGACACAATTTCAAGTTCAAGATCATACAAAAATCAGTGTCCTACCACTGGACATGAACTATCTTGCACCTACCAGTGATTACCTGTACCATTGCTTACCCAGCACAGCAACTGAGGGCAGCAATACATCTTTTTTGGGACAGATAATGACGCCGCTTCCGGCCCATCAACACCTTCCCAAAGTTAACCCTTTCTTACCAGCTCCGCTTACTTCCCATTTTGCTGTCACCTCGCATTCCTCAATCCCCTCCTCATTTAACGACACGCGATCATCACGACTCAGATCTCAAGTGAGAACACGAGAACGAGGTACGTCTAAAATAAGTGGAAATAAGAAGCTATCTATATTTCACCAGTACAATTAATAATCTAATTAATATAAACGTAAAAGATCTACATAAATACACTATTCTCCAGCTAGGCACAAGCACACGAGTCCGTGCTCCGAATTCCCTGTTGATGTATGGAAAAATCAGAGTAGAAGACCATAATAGATATCCTACAGATACACCGAAAATTCCCGCGCCTATGGGCCAGAGATTCGAATCTTTTAAGCACTTAGCGACGCCTCTGCTATCTCTAACTTTAAATACGTGTTTCTGGTGTAAACATTCCATTCAAAAATCACTAATAATTTGTTAAATATTCAAACGAATTTTCAACTTAACAAGTTATATTGTCTCTGTAGCTTCTCAAATTTCGAAATTTTATTATACGAGATTCGACACGTAGAAAATTCTAATAATTTTATATAAAACTCGCGCATGGTTTACTAAAGTTTGTCCGTTATTACTGATTTTGATTTATCTTTATTAGGCTGTTTATGAAGAACCTGGCTCATTCCTGACTAGATTAAGCAGTTCATTCTGAATCTTCATCTTAGAATGTATTCTATAATCAGACAGATCGAGAAAACAAATTGTCTCAGTTATACTTCTCGTTTAATAACTAGCATGAATAATATTCAATCTGAACAAGACAAACATGCAATAGCTACAAAGTTTGTAGTGTTAGTGAAGCTATTTTATTGGGAACAAGGCAGTACAAACGTTTTTATGTGTATAGAGTTAACACCTTTATCGTATTTCTGATTATTTATTTTTGCTGTTATAATATTCCGTCAGTTTCTCTCAATTCTAGAATGCTTATATTACAGATGCTGTAGATTTATAACCACAAGGCGGCGTTGTTTCACTTTTAGGAATACTGTGCAATTTTAACCATTTCACCAACTTTTATAGAAACTAAGACACTTTTCTAAACATGCTTAATAGAACTAATTATGTTTCAATGTAATTATTGTAGCAGTTAAATCAGTTAGACCATTGAAATCAATGTAATCATTATAACGGTTATATCATTAAGACTATCAAAATAAAAGTAATCATTCCAGCAGTTGGATCAGTAAGACAATTAAAATAAAGTAACCATTGTAGCATTTAGATCAATAATACAATTAAAATAAAAGTAATCATTGTAGCAGTTAGATCAATAATATTATTAAAATCAATGTAATCATTGTAGCAGTTGGATCAATAAGACAATTAAAATAAAAGTAATCATTGTAGCATTTAGATCAATAATATTATTAAAATCAAAGTAATCATTGTAGCAGTTAGATCAATAATATTATTAAAATCAATGTAATCATTGTAGCAGTTGGATCAATAAGACAATTAAAATAAAAGTAATCATTGTAGTAGTTGGATTAGTAAGACAATTAAAATAAAAGTAATCATTGTAGCAGTTAGATCAATAATATTATTAAAATCAAAGTAATCATTGTAGCAGTTGGATTAGTAAGATTATTAACATCAAAGTAATCATTGTAGCAGTTAGATCAATAATATTATTAAAATCAAAGTAATCATTGTAGCAGTTGGATCAATAAGACAATTAAAATAAAGTAATCATTGTAGCAGTTGGATTAGTAAGACAATTAAAATCAAAGTAATCATTGTAGCAGTTAGATCAATAAGACAATTTAAATCCAAGTAATCATTGTAGCAGTTGGATTAGTAAGATTATTAACATCAAAGTAATCATTCTATCAGTCAAATCAGTAAGAATATTAAAAAATGAATCATTCTGGCATTTGGATCAGTTAGACCATTAAAATCAAAGTTAATATTCTAGCCGTTAGATTAATAAGACCTCTAAAATCAAAGTTATTATTTTTGCAGTTAGATCAGTAGGACCAAAGAAATTATTCTATCAGTTATATCATTAAGACCATTAAGATCAAGTAATTATTCTAACAGTTGTAGTACTGTGCAAAAGTGTTAGGGCAAATTCAAAAATTAGATTTAAGGCTACTTTCAAAGAACGATGGAAGGTAAATCACAGGTGAAACATCAAAATTTTATTAATCTTCATATTTAGTACAACAGAAACTCAGTGGAAGTGCTTGAGTTCACCAAACAGTTAATATTTTGTACGTTCTCATTTTGCTTTAATAACTGCAGGCAGTCTATCAGGCATTGTTGCAACATATTTAATCAGAGTGTCCTTTGGGATTTTACTCCAAATTTCTTTAATACACTCCCATAAAGTATCTTTGGAAATAACTTTTGATTTCTCAAGTTTTTGATCTATCAAACCCCAGATCTGCTCAATTGAGTTGAGATCTGGGCTCTGTGGGGACCATTGCATCATTTGAATGACTCTAGCAGCTTCTTTCTAGGTTAAGTAATTTATACATAGGTTGGATGAGTGTTTGGTGTCATTATCGTCTTGGTAGTAGAATCATTTACCAATAATACACAAACCACTGGGTATACCATGACGGATCAGTTTCTGATGGTACTTGCGCTAGTCCATTATTTCATCTATCTTGCAAATATCTCCTGTCGCCTCAGCAGAAAAACACCCCAAACCACCACACTGCCTCCCCCATGCTTCATGGTAGGTGCTACGCATTGTGGTAAGTATCTTTCTTCCGACGGACATACAACCTACGCTTTGAACCAAATATTTAAACTTGGACTCATCCGTTCATATCATCCTTTTTCAATCATCAACAGTCCAGTTTTTGTACTTTTTAGCAAATTTCAGTCTCTTGACAATATTTGGAGATCGAAGTAAAGGTTTTTAATTGCTACATGGCCAAATATTCCATTCTCGTTGAGTCTTCTTGATACTGTATATCTGGACACTTTTCTGTCATTTGGTACATGGTCGTTTATCTCATGCTCGAGATCAGTGGCAGTCTTCCTTCTGTCCCGAAGGTTGCATAAACGAAGATACTTAACATTATTATCATTGAGTTTAGATGTTCTGCCTCTTCCTTTCCTATTTTCAAATTTACCTGTCTCGGTCTCACGATCTAGGATGCACTTGACAGTGTTTAGGGAGCATTTCAAGTCTGCGGCAATTTGTCGGAGAGTCCAACCAGCATCACGTAAAGCTTTTATGCGAACTCTCTGCTCTACTGACAATTCTCTACGCTTTTTGGGCCGTGGCATGACAACAAAACTTACTATATAGTTTTAAACACTGTTTTTATCAAGGTATATTTGTGGAGTGCTATTAAATTGATTTCTTCTAGCATATATCGGTACCATATGCTAGCTCCTTGTTAGCTTCTTTCTGTATGGTTAAGACACTGCATGGGGTACCACGACAGTTATTCCAGACCCCAAATTTGATCAGTATGCTCATTCAAGCAGAACCATTATGACATGCCCTTGGTAACAAGTATATGGGAATTCTAAAGAATGATAAATATTCTCACCCTGGTTCATTCAATTGTCACCAGGGATCAGTGAAGTATTACTATGGTGTTGAAATGTACATTCTGTAGTGGTATGGAAGAATTAGCCACATAAAATGGAAGGAATGGCAAAATATTCACTTGTCCTAACACTTTTGCACAGCACTGTAGATCAGTAGTTAGTAAAATCCTATACAGGAATAACTGGTATTGAATAATTTGACTTAGTCAAAAAATAATAATGTACAAATAAGGACAAAGATACAAACCTTATTAACATTTAACTTCTGCTTTAATTTTCAGGTCGTTCTAACAGCGCCCTCTCGAGGGAGGAACAGAAGAAAAGTGCTTGTGACAGAGAAAGAAGTCGGATGCGAGATATGAACCGGGCTTTTGACCTACTACGAGAAAAACTACCAATATGTAAACCTCCAGGGAAAAAATTATCAAAAATTGAATCGCTCAGGTAAAAGAAACGTTGCCGTTCTTTTATTCATCGCTTTCCAAGTCTTGTGGTTTTTGTTATTTCTCTTGTACGTTATTGATATTACCATTTTGAAATTGTTGTATTTTCTTTGAATATATATACCCCCCTCCTCCTCAGTGGCTCGGCAGTAAATCTTCAGGCTTAAGATGCTAAAAATCGTGTTTCGATACCCGTCCTGGGTAGAGCACGGACATACCATTGTGTAACTTTACGCTTAACAACAACTAAACGAAACTGAAACAAGAGGGATTCCTCAATAGCCGCGGCTGTAATTAGATCTCAAATCGGTCAAATAATGGAGTCATGAGCTAAAGTTTGTTATTGAAAAACTCAGAGCCATTCTATGAGCCGCTGTCTGCCACGGCTAAAAATACGATAGAAACACGACTAACTCTGAAGTATCAATCCGAAAGTGAACGTTTAAAACTATTCAACGCTTGTAAGAATGTGAAAAAATGAGAGCAGTTAGAAAAAAAATTGCGCCTAATAAAACACCTAGTTGTATTAAGTATGTAAAAAAATGTTTCTCTAATGTTTACATATTACAGTGAGAAAATGAACAGTTATAAATGTGACCTGAGATAAACGAAACGATTCTACGTTTACATTCATAGACCATACGGAAAGCTGGTAACATTTAGGAAATAAACAGGGCCACATTTGTCAACTTTCGAGAGTACAACGCTTTCAGAAAATTAGTTGTTTTGGTTTCATTTAATCCCTTGCAAGAATGTGCGATGCGTTTATTGGTGCCATAGCTACGTAACACCTGGATCACATCAACGCTTGTGTTAACCAGAGTGTGTAAAGTACTAACCCCAAAATTGCCGGTGGGGGTCGGCTTTTTTAAACACGTTTTTCCAAACTATTTATGTACGAGATTATTTATGGATCCACGATTTTATTGGTTACAAGGTCATTAATAACATACGAGCTCCTCAAAAAAGTTGTAATTAATCTAACTAATTACTTCTGAAGTCCATTATTAATTTTACATAGTAAATTAGAGATTTCAACCGTTTTTTTTTCAGTGTTGCAACAAACCAATACTTAAAAATATTGAACATGAGGCTACATGTGGACCTCTGTCGGTGGTGAGCTCTGTAGAAACAAATCTGTATAGTTTGAGGTTAATATATTTTTTTTCTAACTACATGTGAATTAAAATACACATAGCGATAATATCGCAGTGTATTTCATTGACACTGGCCTTTCTAGGTGCCTAGATCTGCGGGCTTACAACGCTAGAAAACGGGTTTCGATACTCGCGGTTGACAGAACACAGCCTATTGTGTAGCTTTGTGCTTAATAACGAACAAACAAAGATAAGGCTTACAGATAGAACTTAGAGAATATGGTAAACCGAGGGTTTCCAAACTGGGGGACGGGACCCCTAGGCAGCCGCAAAAAAAAAGTATCCGGGGGGACGGTAACAAAGAAGCAAAATTAAAGTACTCAACATCTATAAATTCATAGATTCAATGAGTGAAGGGGGGACATAGTCAGGACGCAGAATGTTCTGGGGGAAGCCTTGTAAACAAAACAATCCTCTACCTGGTTGGGCTGACATTCCCGACCTTGGTATGGGTACGGTTACCTGCTCTGTGCTTACTTTCTTCATATTACAACTATTATTTAACTACATTACAAATCGATGGCTGATTTAGGTGTTAAGTTGTGCAGTGTGTGACTATTATTAGGTGTTAAGTTGTGCAGTGTGTGACTATTATTAGGTGTTAAGTTGTGCAGTGTGTAACTATT